TATTTTTGATAATATATATACATGTATTATATATTTATTCAAATACATAATATTTTTAGGGAAAGATCATACATAATAAATCATCATTAGAAATATAAGTTTTTTATTCAATAACAAAATATGTAATAATAGATGAATATTTTTTTTTATTATAGTCAAAGTATATAATAATATATTTCTTTAATTATAACATATTTGTAAACTATAGTGAAAAGATGTTACATCATCAAATTAAGATAATAGGACGATTCGAAATCAAAGCCAAAAATATTACCATTGTTAATAAAAAAAATTAAGTATACAATAAAATAAATTATAACTAAACTTTTTAACAAATTATATTTTGAAATAAAAAATCTGCGCATCGCGCGGTTACTCATCTAGAATTCTATAAAGCAACGAATTGATGTTCTCGTAATACACAAAAACAAGAAAGAGCAAGTGTAGTTACTCGACGTCTTATATCTATTTCGTGTAGGATAATGATTTTTCACTATGGACCATGTAATAAAACTGTGATTTGATATTTGAACCAAATACAAGATGAATGGCACTGAGCACATTGACACCTCTAAGTTATATTTCATGTCATATTCAGGTTTAGAAATGGAACTAATAGTCTAACATATGTAGAAAATTTAAAAACCTTTATTGCATGCGATCATTAAAGAAAAGTTAAAATTTGGGAGGATTGTGTATTTTAACTATTATTTGACAAAAAGTAAAAAATCTAATGTGTCAAAAGGAAAAAAAAAGTTAATGTATTATATTATTAACATATAAATGTGATATGACAAATTTCAGAAGATAAACGAAATGTTTTGATTAGTTGAGTTAAAACTAAATCTTAACTATTATTTGATAAGAAATTAAGTGAAAAAACTGATATATTAAAAGAAGAAAAAAAATTAATGTATTCTATTGTTGACATGGAAATATGACATTATAAATTTTCTAAAATAAACGAAATGTTTTGATTGGTTGAGTTAAACCTAAATAAACCTCATTTTCAAATAAGAAAAAAGATTATATCATATGTGAATGTATTCTCGTTATATATCAAAATTTGAAATTATAAAAAATAGATAGAAAAATAAATCGTAAGTATCATCTTAGCAAAATTGTTTTATAATATTGTATATATGAATCATAAATAGTATTAAAGTTAAAAAAATGAATATCTACGATTTTGATTTTCTGTAAAAATCTCGGATTATATCTTTGGTTTAAAGCATTTCCAACCCACTTTTATTTTAAATATAATCTTCTAATTAAGAGAAAAAATAGAGATGTTGTTTTTTCCTCTATAATTGTAGGAAAAAGTAACAATCTTTTTTTTCTGTACAATACACATATGTTGGAGAGAAATCCACCTATATTTTAGAGGAAACAAATTGAAAAATATATTGGAGATGGTTTTAATTGTTTATTATATATTCAAAATTAAGAAAAAAGAAATATAAATCAAAGAAGATGAAAAATAAAGAAGAATAATTTTAATCGATTTTATGTTTTTATTTGAAATATTTTAAAATATGATTCTATGCATATATTTTTTCAACATATTAAAATAATTATTTTATTAATCAATTTTTTTATATGTTATGATCCATTATATTTTGTATCAAAACATATATCAAAGTTAGAAACAGAAAAACTCTTAATTTTTAATATAACAATCAAATATTAAATATCTTATATTACATCTTAAATCATACACACATAGAAGTTTAGGATCCGACTGGTTTAAACACTGCTGTTACAGAGAGTTTATGGAAGCGATCGATTGCGGTTAACTTCATTGTTAAGCGATTTGTATGACTGATGGGTGCGTTGATATAATGATTAGAAATGGGTGCGTTTGCGGAATACTTATGAATGGTTTACTTGCATTTGCAATAGCGGTTAAATAATAAATTAATAATATAAACAAAATATGTAATTATAAAAAACATCAAAACTATATTATTGTGATAAAATATAAAATTATTAATTTAAAATTAATAATATAAACTATAAAAAATAATATGTGTATAATATTTATATTTATTTGTTTCATTTTCTAGCTTGCATGAAAGTAATGATTTTTAATAAGAATTTTTTCCTTTTGTAAATATTAAAGTTAGGTGAAAAGAAGTTTAGTTGTTTAATATGCATATATTAGTGATGAAGAGAATAATTATCAAGAAAATTTGGTTTAAAAAAACTCTAAATATAAAGTTATAATAGGTTATAAGTGAATGTTAACTAAAATGTATTAAATTTATTTATACATATTTTATGATTATAATATTTAAGTTTTATTTTTTCTGAAGATCATTATATATAATATCATGATTTTAAATAAATTTTATCATGAATCCACAAACATGTGTAATCACAAACATTTGTGGAAATGAGCTTTTAATTTTGAGGGATCCACAATGGTTCAAAGTGGTAGAAAAGATTTGCGATGATTGTTGTCAAGCGTTAACAACCGATACCACCCTTAACAGTTGCATTTGTGGGTATTAATGGGAAAACTAGACATCGTATTTACTTCATTTTAGCATGGATATTCATATACATTCACATTTTAGGTCCTTTTTGCATTCATTATAGAGTTATTGAGTCTTATACTAGGCATTGCATATTATGTGCATTTTGGAGTGTATTTCAAGTACAATTGAGGCATAGTAGGAACACTGTACTCGTGAGGATGAAGCTGAGTCAAGAAGAAGGAGCAAAGGAAGTTGTATCGATGAGGATATCTAGTAACGGCTCGATATGGAAATCATATCGATATGTGTATCATGCATCACTCTGATACAGAAGAATCAGAGAAGTATGGCTTCTTGCTGGCGTTTCAGTATCGGCCAATTGTATCGAGGAAAAGCCGATATGAAGAAAAGCAGAAAGTGTATCGATGTGCATATGGGGGTCCTGACCGACTTTGACTTTGGTCAACCTTTGGATTTAGCATTTGACCAAGCTTTGACCCTATGACTATAAAAGCAACACCTTATCCTTTTAGTTTGTTAAGCTTTATCTTATCCTTAAGCACAAAACCTTATCTATAATATCTCTCTCTCTCTTGTTCTTGGCGATTTAGTGAGTTTTGGAGTGATTTGTATGAAATACTTTGAGTTTTAATATAACCTTGTATTTCTTGTTATTGATCTTCTGTCTACTGCTTTTGATAATGTTTTTTTTCATCATTTGTCAAGATTTTGATAGATCAACCATGATTTATGAGTAGTCATTTCTGAGTTTAAGGATGGGTTAGATTTATGATGATCTAAGGTTTATTGCTTGATGTTTAGGTGTAGATGATGTTAGATCCTTCAATATTTGGTGTTTTTACTACTTGTCTTACCCTGATCATGTGAGATTCGAAATTAGGTTTTCTCTTGCATCAAAATTGTTTGTTGAAATGCCTCCTAATCACTAATGGAAATTAGATCTTGATTAGGCTGCTTTCAAAGGAATCATTGTCATGAAGTGGATTGATTTACATGTTTTGAGTTTTATGCTAAAGGATCATGCATTTATTGATTGTTTGAACATCTTATTTAAGGCCAAAGATCATCTTATGTCAATAATCCCGTCCTAAAACCCTCTAGTCATATTTCAAACTTACTCTGTTATTTGCCCTGTTCTTGTTAGTTTGAGAGTTGTGTTTACTTGCCTTATTCACTGCTCATTGTCTTGTTTCTTTAAATGTCTTTCATTTTGATGATCACTTAGGTTGCTAGACTAAAACAAACCTTATTGCTTGGCTTAGCTTATACTTCTTCTATTTTTAATTGTATGATGTTTTAGTTATTGCACAGATTTTAAGATACTTTAATTTTTTATTACTTTTTTTTTTATTTTCCAATACAACTGCACCAATTAAATAAAAGCAAAAATAATATTTAATTTTAAATATATTAATTAAAAGCTAAAACATCAAACTTTTAAAAACAAATAAAAATCCTAAAACATCATACATTTAAAAACAGAAGGAGTAGAATACTATGTATTCTCTATGTATCATCTTCCCTCATTTGGATCAATCATATATTAAATATATAAAATATTATATAATCTACACACGGTGCGGACGAATCACCTAGTTGCATATTATTTGTTATTTCTGACTTGTATAATAAATTTTGTGTATATCATTTGCTATTTAAACAAAAATAAGTATGCTTTAACACATAAAAAAAGAAGGATAAAACTTCTTACAAAAAAAAGGAAGGATAAACCTTAGGTTTTAGTGAGATAAAAACCTAATAATAGACAAAGGATCCTGGGGCTAAGAGTAAGAATTTAAAAATGAGAAAACTCTGTAGGCTTAAACACCTAACAATTACATAATCAGAAGGCTAAGCACATGGATAATGCTTCTCTCTCTACCTAGGGCTATATTACACGACAAAGGAATAAAGTTCATTTGGATTCTTGGTCTTAAATAATATAATTTGCTTCTATTGTTACTGATTTCAATAATTTTCCATGTGCAAATTCTCATTTTTGTCTAACCAAACTGATGCACTTGAGACTTTGGGAGAAATGAACTGTTAAAGTGAAGCACACTTAACACCCTGTAAAGCATCTAGCGTAAGATAATAATACTATCCACATCTACCCTTACATAATACAATTATATTTAAATATACTTGTAAGTTATAATTAACATAGAAAAAATATTTTGCTTGGTCGGTATCTTTCTTATCCTTTTTAGTAGTCTATAGTCTTTAATCGATTATTTGGTTTTGGTTTAAGCGGTCCCATTTAACTCGTGGCCACTCTTGGCTAGATAGCAACACAATTGCCCGATGAAGAAGTTCGGCCCAACATATTCGGACGTAACTCAAATTGATATCGAACTAAGGAGTTATTTTAATGCCGAATGCTGTGGGTGCAACATGTGATTGATATGATATGTAAAAAAATGGCGTGCTTCTATTTTATAAAGAACTTGTGAATAGTTACATAATAAGCTAAACCAATAAAAATGAAACAAATCCGTCGTCATTAATCTCTTTGTAGAGTCAAAATGTATTGACATTTGACAATTGGGAAAACGATATATTTCTCCACAGAAATTATTGTATAGCATCTTATATCTTCCAAACTATGATTCCATTCTAAATGTCCCAGAAAAAAAAATTAAATAGCTAAATATCCCTGAATTAAAAATTTAAAACTTATATCTCTACAAATGTTAATTTTAATTGGTTTATACGGTTTAGTGGTTTGTAAACAAAGACTAACCAATAATAAACCAAACAAAGCCTAATTTCAATCCAATTACATTAACCTAAACCAACTATGACCCGATTATATCGACCAAATCCAATTAAAACCAATTCAGCGTGAGTCAATCGATTACTCCCTTAATCGTCGATGGCTGAGAATCTGAAAATTCGCCAGCTACATGACTATAAATTTCTGATCCTCACCGAGTCACAGTCTCTCACCCGTCTATTTGACATGGACTTGTTCTTTCCTTTGACCTTCCGCTGCGGGTTAAACCACCGACTCATGGCTCTCCGTAACGAAGATAAAACTTATGAAAACGAATGCTCAATCTTGGTATGGAGAGTAACAACAAGGTCATGTGCATCATCCAAGAGCTTCCACACATCTAATTGCACCGCCATACTATGACACTCCCTTAGAATCTTATCCATACTGTTATACATCTCTATTATAAGCGTCCTCCTCTGCAACACCGAGGCTGCTATAGCATAGAACACCAAATCATATATGGGAGGTGCACACTGCCTTATCCTGCTCCACGCGGATTTCCCCATCCCGGCTCTGATCGCGGCTTGGTCCGCCCAAATCACTTCCCACAGACAAAACGTCTGGACGAGTGTCAGCTCTCGTCTGAACATCACAACAACCATTCTGTGTACAAAGAAACAGTCCTCTGCTTGGAGTTTCTCCAGGTGCCTGTAAAGCTGAGAGTCTTTGGACTTAATGATCTTCGAGACTATGTTAAGCTGTCTTCTGATCCCGACCTCGTCGAGCCTGAAGTTGTGACGAGCTTTTTTCATGAACCCAACAAAACACCAAAAGGCCTCGTGGTCATCAGGGATTACAGAGAGAATAGGAGATAGAAGATCGCTTATTCCCTGAAATTAACCAATGTCAGAGTCATATAAAGCATAGGCTTCAAGAACAGCAACGAGCCGTGCAGCTTGAAAGATTGTATACGGTTCTAGTAATTATAATCTTTTAAACCAACCGCTTCAGGTGCACGGCATGCTCTGTCCTTGGATATAACCGCCTGGGATGGGGAATACGGAGTCCACTCTGAGTTGGAACGCACGACATCTAGAGGGATAATACGCTGCTACGTCACGAAATCCTCTTCTGTCCTAGGGTTAGTTGAGCTTGTCGGATAATTCACATCCGGTGTACTGGAAGATTGAAAGACCTGTACACTTCACTCTCATATGAAGACTTTGAATCAGATGACCCGGAATTGAGCGTAGAGATAGTAGCATTGGTGATTCGTCTTGAACTCCTGGCGTCTCTCTCACCTGTACATGAAAATTCACTCATGTACCCGATGTCTTCAGTGATGTCTTCGTCGTCGCTAGAGAGTGACTCGCGGGCACTGACAACTTCATGCACCTTATCCGGATGCAGCCTGCTTTCGCTCCTCCTCCCTCTTCCATCGGAAACTTCAAACTCTAACCAAATTCTTGGTGGGATCCAAATCAATCGCTAAAAGAGAAGATAAATGAATTGAAGGAGAGAGAGAGATTTAAAAGAGAAATGTCATATTCGGGATTGAAGAGAGAGAGAGAGATGTATTAATGAGAATCACGCTCGGGCTGGTTTTAATTGGGTTTGGTCGATATAATCGGGTCATAGTTAATTTAGGTTAATGTAATTGGATTGAAATTAGGTTTTATTTGGTTTATTATTGGTTAGTCTTTGTTTACAAAACACTAAACCATATAAATCAATTAAAACCAATATTTGTGGAGATATAAGTTTTAAACTTTTAATTCAGGAAGATCTAGCTCTTTAACTTTTTCGGATATATCTAGAATGAGATCATAGTTTGTGAGACATTTAATGTTATATGATAGTTTTTGTGAGAAAATAAATCGTTTTCCCATGACAACTTCATATATTTTTGTATAGTTGTAAGCTCATTTATCTAGATGAGTTAAGAAAATATATTATATTAATACCGATTCAATGAAAAAAAAGACTAATGAAAGATGTAAAATCATCCCCTTGCACAAAAAAGGATGTAAAATCCAAATGCAATAATGGTTTGAACTAATTAGATTATTTGTCAATGATGTTTATATACCAATATGGTGGAATCATACAAACAGTATTTGAAAATGAGTTAGGATCCACTGATGTTAAGTATAAACTTAAATACAAATATTCATTGACGACCATCGATTCTTTTATTCATGTGAATCCATAAATGCATATTTTTTTACGTTTTTTTGTTCTTTCTTATCCTCTCAAGCTAAGACCATGTTCACACATTTCAATAATAGTTTTTGGTTACATATTCTATATCAGCTAAGATTCTCGTATGATTTTTCAGCCTATTTTTTGGATAAGAATGTAAAATTTTATTGTTGGAGATTATGATCATTACTCATCTTTTGTAACATCTGTCCATTATTCTTCTTAGTTTATTAGTCATCAATCATCACTTATGTGTCGATTTAAGATGTAATTTACTTTCTATAAATAGCATGTTTAGAATGTTATTTATTTTCTACAAATAGCATGTAATTAATATTATACAAATTATAAGTTAACAAGAACAAAATTACTTTTTAACACTAATTTATTAAATTATTGTAAATTGTGACAACTGTTATATCGACGATTCTGTAACGGTCAATTATACCGTTTTATGAAGATCCACGATTAACGGCTCTACATGTAGCCTGTATCCTGCACCACGTTTACCATCATCATATGAAGATCTACGCCTGGCAATTCTGCTTGCACCACGCTGAAGATCTCTTGTAAGCTTGCCTCTATTAATTTGCATCACTCTTCATTAATCTACATAATTAAGAATAAATCACGTTCTCTGGGATTTGAAATCCAGACCTCCGGGTGTAGAAACATTAATAAACTATTGAGCTAAGGGATAGATTTCTTAGGAAAAGATTTCTTGTCTATTTTCTTTACAATTTCTTAGGCAAAGATTTCTTGTCTATTTTCTTTACAATTTCTCAGCATGACCGTCTCTATACCATCTTTCTGCCTAATCCGATCTCCATCTAAATTGCTTCTCAGTTCATTCCATACCGTAAAAAAAGATAATATTTATTTTAAATTAAGTTTATGTTAAATTTATACTAAAATATACGAAGTGGTAGGTTACGTCTCCTTTTTATTCGAGCGGTAGGCTTTGCTTTCTCGAAATTACATAAATATTGTTGCCTCCTCAATTACAAGATAATTGTTTTATTATATCTTTGTGTTTTATTATTGTTAATAATTTTAAAATGATATTCGTAATGTTTTAAAACAAATTAACATTTGATTTTATTGTTTTATAGTGATATCTTGTCAAACTTGACGAAATTCGATATTGTTGCCCTCTATATAAGTGGAAACAATTATATGACATGAGCATCATATGCAAAAATGCAACTGAAATCAAATGGACTTCTTAATACCACCGACCAGTCAGAAACGATGCCGGATGAGAATAAAGCAAAGGCTATGGTGTTTTTACGCCTCCATCTCCACGATAGCCTGAAAAATGAATACATCACAAAAGAAGATCCAACTGAATTTTGGCATTCACTCAAAGATAGGTTTGATCATCAAAAATATGTGATCTTACCAAAGGCTAAACATGAATGGCTGAATCTCCGGTTCTTAGATTACAAAAGTGTTGGTGAATATAATTCTGCTATATTTGGAATAATTTCCAGGATGACATTATGTGGAGAAAAAGTGAGTGATTATGATATGACTGAAAACACGCTTTCCACATTTCATCCTTAAAATGTATTTGCAGGAACAGTACCGAGCTAAAGGATACTCTCGTTATTCTGTGTTGATGCAAGTCCCCCTTGTAGCAGAACAAAATAATGAACTTGTGATGTTAAACCATCAAGCTCGTCCAGTTGGTTTGGCTCCATTCCCATAAGCGAATGTCGTAGCATCTAGAAATAATAATAATTATCAAAAGTAAGGACGTGGACGCGGCAGAAACCGTGGTTGTGGAAAAGGTTGTGGATGTCAACAAGGAAGGGGTTTCAACGCTGGAAGAAACACGAATTTCAAAACAGATGAAGGTGGTCGTACAATAAAAATGTCAAATGATAATGTTTGTTATAAATGCGGTATGAAATGACATTGGGAACATATATGTTGCACGCCAAAACATATTATCGATCTATATCAAAAATCACAAAAGACTAAGGCAAGGAATGTTGAAACAAACTTCGTCAATGATGAAGCTAGACCTTCCTTCACTGGCCTGAATGATGATATACTCATCTCGATGTTATGGATTTACTTGACTTTAGAAATGTTATCGAAATGAAGTCTTCTAAGTTGCCAAGATAAAAATCAACTAAATATTTTATTTGTATAATATTTTTTAAACTTAACACCTTTTTATTTTATAGTACTTTGTGTAATATACTTTGTTATTTTATAATTTGTAAAATTAAGTTTTTGTTGTAATATAAAGTAATTTATGTAAATTTGTATTACTTTATTAATGCATCTTTATAAGTATCGTGATACAGAAAATGTCATGAATCAGGATTCATGATGAAGATATATATCTAGTAGATAGTGTCACAACGCACACAATACTTAAGAATAGACGATATTTCTCGTCTCTCAAAATTAAGGACTCCACCAGAAGCGTGAGTACCATATCTGGTTTTGCAAAGATCATAGTAGGCTCTAGAATAGCTAATTTTTCAATGCCAAATGGGACAGAATTTGAAATAAATGATGGATTTTATCCTCCCAAATCTCAAAGAAACTTGTTAAGTTTCTAAGATATTCGTAGAAATAAATATCACATAGAAACAAGAGATAAGAATGGCACTGAATATCTTTACATTACATCAGAGAGAAAATATATATTGGAAGAATTGCCAAAGTTATCTTCTGGATTATATTGCACAAAAATAAATATGACTGAATCATATGTTACATTACAACATAAGTTTTCTGATACATTCTAAGTCTGGCATGAAAGGCTAGAACATCATGGATCAGTTATGATGAGAAGAATTATGTATAATTCTAGTGGACACCCATAAAAAACGAGAAAATCTCTCAAACGGGGGAGTTTTCATGTGAGTCATGTTCTAAAGGAAAACTTATATTTCGGCTATCACCAGCTAAAGTAGGGAATGAATCCTCGGTATTCTTGGAAAGAATACATGTTGATATATGTGGACCTATACATTCACCTTGCTGGCCATTTAGATATTTCATGGTATTAATAGACACATCAAGTAGATAGTCACATATGTGTCTTATGTTGATATATGTGGACCTATACATTCACCTTGCTGGTCATTTAGATATTTCATGGTATTAATAGACGCATCAAGTAGATGGTCACATGTGTGTCTTCTGACCACAAGAAATACAGCTTTCACTAAATTCATTACCCAAATAATCAGGTTTAAAACACAATTCTCTGATTATGTAATAAATAAAATAAGACTCGATAATGCTGGTGAATGCACTTCACGGGCCTTCAATGATTATTGTTTTCTAGTGGGTATCGATGTTGAACATCCAGTGCCCCATGTGCATTCACAAAATGGAATGGCTGAAAGTTAGATTAAACAGCTGCAATTAATTGCAAGACCGCTTATTTTAATAACAAAACTCCCAATTTTTCCGTATGGGGGCATGCTATATTACATGCGACTACTTTGGTCCAGATTAGACCAAATGCATAAAATAAATATTCTCCATTACAATTAACATCTAGCCAAGAACCAAATATATCCTATCTACGTATTTTTGGATGTGCGGTTTATGTTCCTATATCTCCTCTGCAAAAAAACAAAAATGGGGCTACAAAGGAGAGTGGGGATATATGTCGGATATATATCACCAAGTATAATAATGTATCTTGAGCCACAAACTGGTGATCTGTTTACGGCACGGTTTGCCGACTACCATTTTAATGAAGATGAATTTCCAGCATTAGGGGGAGGAATAAAGCAAGTGTCACAAGATGTTACATGGTTTTCACCATCTTTGGTAATCCAATGAATCAACGTGAATTAGAAGTTCAGAAAATTATATTTTTACAAAATATGGCCAATGAATTACCATATGCATTTATAGATACAAAATGGATGAAAAAGTCATATATACCCGCTGCAAATGCTCTATCACGGATTGAAATTCTAAAAGAACAAATTGATGGAAACAGAGCAAATGAGCCCAAGGTTCAATTGAAAAAGGGGTGACCAATGGGCTCGAAAGATAAAAAATCCCTAAAAGAAAAAGAAATGGGGAGAAAGAAATGAAATAATTCAAGAACCACAACATGAGAAATTTTTTTGAAGACATTCGTGAAAAAGTTTAAAAAGAGTCTGATGAAGAAAAAGGTCAAGAAGATGAAAAATATACATAAAAGTATGAGATTTCTATAAATTATGTCCAAGATGAAAAGTTTTGGGTTAGAAATAAAATAGAAGATTATGATGGTATATTCTCTTTTTCTACATCCAAAGAAGTTGATAATGAAAATGATGATCCATACCCAACGTCTGTATCAGAGTGTTAGAAAAGGCCCAACTGGGACTAAAAGAAATGTGTTTGGACAAGTTGTCATTACACCTGAAGGTGTGATGCCAGTTGGAAGCAAATGGGTTTTTGTGCAAAAAAGATATGAGAAAATGAAATAACAAGATATAAAGCTCGACTTGTTGCACAAAGTTTTTTTCAAAGACCGGGAATTGATTATGATGAAACATATTCTCCGATTATGGATACAATCACATTTAGGTACTTAATTAGTCTAACGACATCAAAAAATCTAGAAATACACCTTATGGATGTTATGACTGCATACCATATATAGATCACTTGAAAATGATATATATATATGATAATTCCAAAAGGATTCAAGATCCATAAAGAATCGAAAATCTCAGAAGGATCCAAAAATATTTGTCCAGTCAAGTTACAACGATCACTATACGGATTAAAAAAATATGGACGCATGTGGTATAACCGGTTAAGTGAATATATATTGAAGATTGGATATATCAACAATGCGATATGCCCTTGTGTATTTATTAAGAAAACCTCTCTAGAATTTGTGATTATTGCTGTTTATATATATGACCTAAAGATAATTGGAACTCAAAAAGAAGTTAATGATGCAAGAGCTCATATGAAAGATAAATTCAAAATGAGAGATCTTG